GTGTACGCCGGACATGTCCGGTGTACAAACACAAACTTTGGCGTATATAATGGCGTACATTTGTTTACATAGACTAGTAATTGTTCAAATTCAACAAATATGGACCAAATAGGTTTATACTAAAAACGTGTATTTGGAACTTTTGCGCATCTACATTTCCAAAATTGGCGTACAGATACATGTTCCTGAATCGATGTCCGACGTGCAAAAAGTTGACTTTCCAGACTGGGCTGCAGACAAGTAAATCTTTGAAAACTATTGCCAACGATCTGAAAATAAAATACGCTATCAGGCAGACAGTTTATGTGGTATTCATAAAGACTAGGCTTGTATTTCGCTATAATTTCAGGTGTTTGCCATGCAAAGACTCGTCAATCGCCATATAGTAGTTCGCATTGCAAGTATTCATAACGTTACTCGGTTTGAATTTGCTGATGAGAAATCGGTTGATTATGCGCACCCATGCTCCAAGGATTTGGGCCATTTGGCATGAAGACCAACTCATCACAATTGTACTGATCTAATATGTGCTTTGACCAATTAACCGCAAAACATTATTGTCGTTTCATTAGTTTCTTGACTCATTGTACTCTCAGTCATATTTTGCACTTCTAACTTTTTTTTCTAGGCCAGATAAGTAAATATAGCAGCTCGTGAAGCCTCCTCCGCAGGCATCGCCTTTAGATTGGCGGGCAAAATTTACTTGCAGGCAAAAAAAATTGTAAAGTATGTGAACCACGAGATGTCTGCGGAGGAGGCTACAGCAAAACATATGGGTGTCTGAATTTCAGTCACCCTTATATTCTATATATTGCGAGTTATATGGGTGTCTGAATTTCAGACACTCTTATCTAATTCTATTGCGAGTTATATGGGTGTCTCGGAAATTCAGACACTCTTATATTCTATTGCGAGTTATATGGGTGCCTGAATTTCAGACACTCTTATATTCTATTGCGAGTTATATGGCTGTCTGAAATTCAGACACCCATATAACTCGCGCGCAATATAATATAAGAGTGTCCGAAATTCGGACACCCGTATAGCTCGCAATAGAATATAAGTGTGTCTGAATTTCAGACACTTATATAACTCGCAATAGAATATAAGACTCTATTGCGAGCTATGTGGGTGTCTGAATTTCAGACACTCATATAACTATATCCTGCATGATCGTTTATTCAATTTCCAGCGATAGAGGAGTCTGAAATTCAGACACCCCTATATATTACACCAGTTATTCTATTGCACATGCATTTTAGCAGACAGTTCATTTTTTTTGTTTAAAAGTTTGGTATTGTGCGGTAAAATGAACACTTATCAGAATATTCGGCGAAAATTAGCTAAAAACATTAAAAATAAGCTTTTTTCTACCAATTCCTTCGATTTTGATTGATTTTGGAACTAGACTGAACACACTCAGCACAAATTATAGAAAAATAACAAAAATGTAAGCCAGAAGAATTGCTGTCAGCGAAAATCAAGATTATATATCAATACAATTTCGACACAAGTTCGCAGGAAATCGCCTTTTTCTTTGAAATTTGGGGCAAAATTACGTTGACTTGGCAATTATACCGTATTTTGGCAGAAAAATGAGCAAAATATTGCAAATATTGCAAATTTGAGTCAAAATTCGAAGTTTGGAATTGTTCAAAATTCTTTGGAACGCGTTCCTTGTAGATGTTTTTCGATTTACAGTTCTTCTTAATAGGGCATTCACTTGGGTTATTACAGTTGCAGTTATCTGATGTTGGTGGGGTAGTTGTGGGTTTTGACAGGATGCAATTGTTGTGGCGAGATATAACGCTCTTTACATTAGGCATGCAGCTATAGCTAACTTTGACTGTGTTACGGTTGAATATTTTGTGCAAAGGACTTGTAGGTGGGAAGGAAGTGAATGCCCTATTAAGAAGAACTGTAAATCGAAAAACATTATCTACAAGGCCCAAGTTACATCACCCGACGACGGTGTCATAAAAGAGTATATAGGAATGACGGCGACTACTTTCAAAGAACGATATGGAAATCACAAGAAATCCTTCAAACTTCACAGATATAAAAACGATACAGAGCTGTCAAAGTACATCTGGGGGCTAAAGAGTAATAATAAAGATTACACCCTAAAATGGTCAATTCTGAAGCGGGCAGGCGCATACTCATCTGGCGCAAAGCGTTGCAATCTCTGCATAGAAGAAAAACTCTGCATAATGGATGCAAACAAACATTTAACACTGAACAAAAGACCCGAGATATTCGCAAAATGCCGACATCGCGAGAAATTTTGGGCGGAAAATTTTGAACGCGCGTGCGAATGACGGTGCACGTCAGCAAACTATAGATCACGCCATTATAACGAACTGAATTTAATCGCCTGAAGATTGCCACAAATAGTGGCATGAAACTTAAAGTAGCGAGAAATTGAAACATTTTAAGATAACAAATTAATTCGCTCTGCTAAATAATTTGTAGTATTGAGCACTCTTTTATCTATAACGAAAAACAAAACTGTTTATATATATATATATATATATATATATATATATATATATATATAGAATTTCGCTTACCTCAAAATTCCGCAACAGTCTGTTTCATCAGTAAAGAATCATTCTTTACTGATGAAACAGACTGTTGCGGAATTTTGAGGTAAGCGAAATTCTACATTTGCTCTATCTTTATGATATTGAGCACTCTTTGCGTTTCGTATACACCAACCTACTCGTATATATATATATATATATATATATATATATATATATATATATATATATATATATATATATATATATATATTATACACTATATATATATTATACACTATATATATATATATACTATATATATATATATATATATATATATATATATATATATATATATATATATATATATATATATATATATTATAATATATATATATTATAATATATATATATATCTTATAATATCTTTATTACATATTATATATATATATATATATATATATATACCGGGTGGCCCAAAAAAAAGTACTCCTGTTTGATTCGTAATAACATCTAAACAAGTATAGCTTTTAAAGAGAAATAACTTGCATCAAATAGAGGAAGGACTAACTTAGACTTTGTTATATTACAGTTGTATTTCACTTAAAAATTCACGGAGATATTAATCTTTAAATTCGGGAGGATATTTCTGGATGTGTCTGAAATATGCAAAAATCGGCTTATCAAATATTAATCAAGATTTGCCCGACTGAAACATGCACTATTACCAGTAAATAAATGACACTTGACAAATTGTTTATTATGAAACAAAGTATTATTATCTACAAAATACAAGCAAGATTTATTCGTCCGAAATCCGCGTGTGTTTCTAGCACGAATACGTTTCCTTATTTCATGAGACCACTGCATCGCGAAGGATCGTCATGGATCGTTCGTAGTTCTGAATTAGGGCATGCTGTCACAATGGAATTGTGAAGCTCTTCTAACTTCTGCAACGTTCTGAAATCTTGTTAAGAACACTCAAACTCTTTTGCCTTTTCTTAATCTTGTTAAGTTCAGAATCAACTGAGAATGAAACACAATCAAACCATACAACTCCATAAGACATAACAAGCAACTCCCCAGAGACATCCAACATTTTTGGAACAAAACGTAACAAAATAGTAGCGTTGATCCTGTCATGTGTATTTGCAAAAAGCAATATTATTTCCTTCATTAAAGAATAATATTCATCTTGCTCTAACCGAGATATAATCAACTCTCTTTTGAACCCATGAAAAACATAAAAAATTAGGCTATTTAAGAAAAATTTAAGCGCCTGCCTTGCATGGTCTGTCAGGTACCTTTAAGATTGTAAAGACCTATACTTGCATAATTTCGAAGGTTCATGTTTCAGGAAACAATGAGCTAAGACTTACATGTAAGATGTCTAAATCTACACCAAACTTACAAACCCTAACGACAATTCGCTGAAATACAAGTTAGCCTGATATGTCATTAAGCAAACAAACGCTGGAGTTAATATTTAACATGCCGATTTTCGCTAATTTAGACACATCCCAAAATATGCTCCCGATTTTGAACATTAATATCTCCGTGAATTTTTAAGTAAAATACAACTTGTAATATATCAAAATCTAAGTTAGTCCTTCGTCTATTTAATGCAAGTCATTTCTGTTTGATAGCTTTACTTGCATGTTTAGAAGTTATTATAAATCAAACCGGAGTACTCTTTTTTGGGGGGAACCCGGTACATTCCACAAATATTTGTCTTACCAAATCATCTGTTAATGGCAACTCAAATCCTGCAAATAAATGCTGGTTTACAAAACGTCTTTCCCGTCTGGAATATTTAGTCCAGATTACGTGGCGAATGCTTGCTACTTTTTCCGTCACAACATTTCGTAAATGTTTCTATAAATAAGATGACAAAAAAAACCAAAGCAATCACTTCATCACAAATCTCTACTCATTAGAGATTACAATATATATTGAACAATTCTATATAGAGATTGTTTTCTCCTGCAAAGATTTTGGTTAAATTTCCAACCTCTATTCCTAAAATTAATTGTTTCGCAGGAGAGAGAAACCGGGTTTTCAAAAAGGTTTTTTTCAGTGAGTTCTATATAGATCGGATAAAATATGATTCTGCCTTTTCTAGCGCAATGAACAGTTGACCAACAAAATGAGATGGGATCAAATATATCAACAAATATATGCTGGACAAACCTCAACTTCTGGAAGGACTCCAAGCATGCTGCCAAGCTCATGATACTGAATTTTATCACTTCTAGATTATATCGAAGATAGAATAATCGTAATAAATTGACGGGAGTCAAAGGCTTCAGAAAAAGTTATAAAGTAACCAGCAATAAGTTCTTCCCTTTGGCTATGGTATGTGGCACAGTTAATATTTTATCAAAACTGGACAAACATGTAATTACGTTATTCTATTTTCGCACTTTTTACTGTCAAGGCTAAGGGCATTTTTGCAATTTCATTCTATTCTCTTTGTCAAAAACCGGCAATGAAACCATCAATTAACGTAAGGTTTCTATTGTACCTTACTATATTTTCTCGTTCAAACTTTGAGCAGCCACAAAACCATTTCCTTGGCAGCTCTACAGCATCATCGACACCAACACACTGTAGATGAAACCATTTCCTACACTTTGGGGAATCACATTGAACCCGTCGTAGCTCTGCATTTGGTGCTTGAGAGTTGTGACCCTGGGGAGCTTGGCAGGAATTTGCATCGCACAACTCTTCCTGGTCCTCATCCAATTTAAGTTTTCTTCCATTTCTTTGAATATGCAAGTCTACCAAGCCACCCACGCCCGGTGTGATTCCAACCTCAGGTAGTAATAGGTTAAAGGGTCGAATGATGTAAGTGCCTTCTTCCAAGCTACTGCCTTCAACGTCATCTAAAATAAATATGTTAAATTCGAATAGGAATATATGACTTTATAATGTCACGCGAAAACCGGAACACCCTAGACAGACATGTTTATACATCCCCGAATTGTTGTTTATAAGCAGCATTATATATATAATTAACAATTATTCGCCGAAGGCGAAGTGATTACCGGTGAATATTCACCGAGACGAAGTCGAGGTGAATATTCACCGTAATCACTGAGCCTGAGGCGAATAATTGTTTTAGTATAAATTTTTAATGAATAAAACAAAATATCCAAATATCAGTTCAATTAAATTTCAGAAATAAAACTGTTTTCGGCCTGTTCACTAACAGTGTTGCAGTGTTTCTTGTACGCACACGCTTTCAAAATGGCTTCTTGTGTGACTTTATTGCTTTATTACAAAGTTGTTTTTCTCGATTTCTGCTTGGAATATAAACACAATAACGGAATGACTCTTTCTAAAAATAGCTTCTGTTTAGCATTAATTTCTTCAGGAAATGGCTGAGGAATTTGGTAAAATGAAATGTAAAACTATATCGTTCGAAAAAAAGTTTTAATAACACTTTTTACTTTACGAGTTTCGAAAACACAATACAGCGGTCAGAACACCTTACAGCACAATGAAAACATGACATATCTAAAGAAATATTATCGTACAAATAGGGAAATTGATAGGATACAAAACAAAATTGTTTTAGAAAGAATATCACAGCTTTTCCCAACAGTCGGGTAGCCGGTTTTGCAAATTGTTTGAAGCAAATGAATGAATTTTTAATAATACGTAAACGATATGAAGCGGAAATCTTTCTTTAAATATAAAACACCTTTCTTTTTTCCCCTTTCTTTATTATCTTTACAATCAACAAAACGATTGAAGGTACAGGCAACAGGACTGAAGAGTCACAGATTAAGTCCTATCTACACATTAATTGCAGTGCCGTAGGAATCTTGTTTTGTAAATTTAGAGTCTCTGAATGCCATTTCCTGGACTTTGGGGAAGATTTGACAGAATTCTGTTGGTCAGAAAATAGCGTTTAAGTATGCCGAAATTTATAATTTAGCGTTTTAGTATGTCAAAATTTACAATTTGTTTAAAATTTAGTAGTACGAAATGGGCGAAGGCGTATTTAATTAACTATATATTGGATAAGTTGCAGGAAAGTATGCAAGATAATATCTTCATTCTTTGCAGTTTGTCATGGATAATATAGCCGCTTAAAATTAATCAATTGTCAGTATTTTAAAGGTATATTATTTAAATGATAAAGGCCTGCATGATTTTGAAAAAAGAATGATCATTAGCAAATTATTTGGGGGAGGGCTGCCGGTTGCTACGGCCCTGTATTAACATTGCAAAACGATACAGACAGAGTTACAAACTTTAACGAAGCGACGACACAAAATTACAATACATGCATGATCAATGCGTTCCAAACCACCTTTACTCTTTCCAAAGTTAATTTAAACTAGATATGGACCGTCCACATATTGCAGTTCTTTCCAATTTTCAAGTCAACTACTTTAAAATTAAAGAGATCTGAAAATTGCAAAGAAGGTTTGGAAAATGACAAAGTTACAAAAAAGTTTTATACATGTAAATATACCAATATTGTGCAGCACTGATACAGTATTTAACATCCTAAACATGCAACGTGTTCCAAGCTGTCCCTGCATACACCTAATGGCGTTGCTTTATCAATGCTAAACAGTAGTCTAATTAAATTATAGCAATTACATTTACACTCTGTACGAATTTTTACAGACAGGACAGTAATTCACAACTATAGGACGCTGCGTAAAAGGCGGTATTCGCGGCCGCGATAACGTTGTAAGGTATCATATATTATCCTAGCTTACCTAAAACTTTCATTACATAAATCTTGCGCCGGAAGTCGGTGCTTACAACAGCATTTTCAGTCTGAAATCCTGGAACAATCATTCCCTCCGCTATTATATGTTGTTCTTGATTCCTGACTTTAACTTTACTCCAGAACGGGTAAACTAATCATAACCGCATAAGAAATTAAAAGCACACCAATAAGATTTTTTATAACATGTTTCCTTACCAGGCACATTCTACAAACTTATATTCAGAAAACAATGAGAAATTCGTTCAAAAATAAATTATAAAATACCGCATTTCCTATTTAGCCTCCGGCCGGCTTATTTTCTTTCAGTGATTCTTGACTGGGGCATATTAAGAAGGTAGGGATAAATAAGGGCTTATGGGGGCTAACTAAATGGCCACGTTTCTTAGAAAATATATCTGGAAGATGGGTGAAGCTGAATCGAAGAATACAGTAACGGTAAAGGTACAGTAATTAAAAACACGCACATACCAGGTAACTCTCGTGGCTTTTGACCAGGTCTTCTAAGTCGCCTTCTCTTAGCACCTTCACTCAAACCTGAAGCTACAGCAGGAGCTACAGCAGTAGACGAAACAGGATGCATGGAAGATAATTGATTTGGAATAGATTGCTGCACCGATGGGACTGGCTCAGATAAAAACATGGGATTCGTTAGAGGCGAAGATGACGAGGAAGTAGAAGACATATATGCCAAAGAAGATATAGTGGAAGAAGATTCTAACAACGGAGAACACGTACACAAAGAAGAGGAAGAAGGAAAAGATGTAGAATGAGAAGACAAATGAAAAGTTGTCGTAGACGTTGCAGAGGAACTAGGCGAAATGTAATTAAAAGAAGAGGGGCCGCAAGAACTTGAAGGAGTATTCGACGAAAACGTTGAATAAGTCACGTTAGAGGAAGTTAAAGAAGGAACTGAACTTACAGCAGGTACAAGACTGCATGTTAAAAGAGAAGACGAGGAAGGTGGTACATCAGAAGAAGATAATGTTAATGGATCAAGAGAAGAAGCAGGCCTTGGTGGACAAGAATTTAACCCCTGAGAGGTTTCGGCAAGATTAACACCTGTTGGTTCTGCCTCTTTAACTCGAATTTTTATGTTGTCGCGAGATTGAATTATTTTCCTTAATTGGCCAACACCATAGCCACTTGGTTTTCGAAATGGAATTTCGGGCAGTCCATCAACTAGAAATTCATTCCTGCGTTTATACGGAAAGGGTGTATCTTTTCCAGTAGCTTCACCTATAAATAGAATATACAAGCATTTATTACAAAGAAAATAAATTCACTTCAATTCTCGGTTCCAATTTGGTCAACAGATCAGTCGTGACCATGGATAGTTAAAGATCTATTTTCTTTTTACTATTGATGACCCTAAACATGTAAAAATCGATGATGTGAAATAGTGAATTTTATCTTTACCGCTGTGTAATTTCTTGGGTGATATAGCGTTTTCCTTGTCTACACCTAAACCGGAACTCCCTTCCACATAGTTTGCGTTCTGTGAAAATGTACAAAATTTCTGAAACTACAAAAAAACACAATGTCATGAAACAATTCTTACGGTATTTATCATTAAATAAATCTTGTACGTCTCTCCTTAGCTTCTCTTCCTCGGATTGTCTCGTATTTACTTGTGTCCCTAAAATTAAAAGAATTTTATCCAAAAGGTTAGAAACAAGCAATCGATTGAATAAAAAAGGCAGCTGCTTATTTTTGTCATTCATCCATTTATAGCGCATCGTGTCATTACCGTTAGTGAATAATGAAAAATGTATATGCTGTAAAAGTTCTTCACTTGCTCTATTTCTGATCGAATCCGATTCAGCAACAAATGCTTTGCCCTTTCTAAAGCCAATGACCAATGTGTAGCAACCATAATCTTCTAGTGTCTTGCACTGAAAGTTACATAATTAGAATATTATTAATGTAGGTTGTAGGTTGCATGGGGATAAAACATATAATCATATAGAGAGCAAAATTACTCAAATACGATTGGCTAATGAGGAGGGCATTTTTCCTTGATTAAGAACAAAATTACTTGTACTTGATTGGGTGAGACGCAAGCGCGGGAAGTTTCTTATTTTAAATTAAATAGGAATAAAAGCAATGGCTTCTCGCTTTTGTCGTCGCGGAATTAAAAATTTCTAGTGAAAACTTAAACACTAGATTATTGCTGGAGTATTTAAGAAATGGGCAGGCAGGGCAGCATTAAGAAACATCGGCAAGACATGGAGACATACGAGGTTCAAGAACTTGACAAGTTCACAATTAACTTAATAAGTTTTGCCCTCTATGATTAACAAGTAATTGCATAGTTCCTCGTAAAATTAAGGTTTAATTTCACTTGTGTTTTCAAAGTTTCACAAATTAGTGAAACTTTGAAAACACAAGTGAAATTAAACCTTAATTTTTCTCGGCCCCATGCGATTGCCTATACTAATACTTTTGTTTGTGGAAACACCACGTAAATTTATTACTGCAAAGCTTTCATATTATTTGTTAGAATAGTAATAATATACATAAAGATATTACTCGACTGTGATTGGTTGATTTCAGTGCAGTTAATCCCAAACAGCAGTGCAATTTTCTGTAATCACAGTGCAATTTTTTGTAATCACAGTGCAATTTTCTGTAATCACGGTGCAAAAATCTGTAACAAACTGATCTGATTGGTGGAAAAACATTGTGATGATTAAATCAACCAATCAGTTTAAAGCAGTTTAGTTTTAAAGAAGTAACGGTCACAGATTGCTTCAAAACAAAAGAAACATGGCGCCGCGCTACACAAAGTAAAAGTTGCCTTCGCGTGGAAAATATGGTTTTTATCTTTATTTTTAAATGGAAAAGCATTTACCTTAATTAAATAAGACTAACAAAAAATACACAGTTGAGTGGAATTTTCAAGCTGTTAGCGTTGTATAATGTGATAAAACAAAGCCAGGAAAACTTTGCCAGTGGAATGTTCGCTATAAACGCGTAAGTTAAATCTACAATTGTCTCGAATATTTTTATGTAAATTATTAATAAGTAATAGCATGGTTTCTCGTGAAATTTGGATAAACATGCACTCGTGAGTTTTTCAAAGACCTCAAATAGCACTCGTCCTTCGGACTCGTGCTATTTTGAGGTCTTTGAAAAACTCACACGTGCATGTTATATCGAAATTGCACTCGAAACCGTGCTATTATCTATACTTATAACCTTCATATTCATGCATTCGCTCGCTACTCTGGTTTAAATAAATGATTACAAAGCCCAGTCGAATTGTAATCAAGACCCAACGTTTCGACACTCCAGTCTAGTGTCTTCATCAGGGGTGATCTAAAACTGCGATCGTGGCTTCTTAAATACCCAAGGGATGACGTCACCTGCCAAGAAGATGCATATATTCTTCTGGCAAATAGGCGCCGTCATCCCTATTCAAAGCATGATGACTCATATTTATATGCCACGCTTCTAGGCAAAGTCTTTGACCATAGCGATTGTTTGTGGTAATTACTTTAGAGTTTTCCCACGCAATCTCGTGTTTGGTGTAACATACATGTTCGGCTAAAGCTGATTTTCCCTTGTCTAAAGTTGAAAAAGCCTTTTGATGTTCATTTGGCCGTGTACCAAACTGGCGTTTAGACTGACCCAAATACTCTTTGTCGCAGTCACCGCATGCATGGTATAGAATATATAGCATGAGTCTTCTGATTTTTTTCAACAGGATCTTTTGGCTTTGCGAAAATATGGCCTAAGGTCAAATAGGGTTTTAAGACAACCTTAATATTACAATTACTTAAGATTCTCTTGATTGGTTCTGTGACACCTTGAATGTATGGAACTATTGCAAAACCCTTAACAGAGGTATCACCCTCGGAGTTATTTTGGTTCCTACAAACAGGTGGTCTCAGGCAATCATTAAGAAAACGCTTTGGGTAATTGTTTTCCCCTAAAACATTTAGAACGTATTCACGTTCATTAGCTTGAGAATCACTGTTTGACGGCAACGATTCAGCTCTTTGAAGCAAAGTTTTTGCTACGGATCTTTTATGGCTTACTGGGTGATGAGAGTCGTATGACAAGTATTTGTCTGTGTGTGTGGGTTTGCGATAAACATCAGTCTCTAACTTCCCTTCGACAGTTCTGTGTACATTCAAATCTAAAAAATCTAAATGTCCATTTATTTCACGTTCTACCGTGAATTGGATGGACGGCTCAATAGAATTTAAATGTTGCAGCAGAATATCGATCTCATTTGTAGAAACCGCAGAGATGACATCATCGACGAAACGTTTCCAAAACGATAGGGACACCGGAACAGAGGCTAAAGCTCTTTGTTCGACATCTTCCATTACTAAATTAGCAATTACTGCCGAAACTGGTGACCCCATCGCTGTTCCAAAAACTTGTTAATAATAACAGCCCTCAAACACAAAGTATGTGGCGTTGAGACAAAAAGACAGAAGATCAATAATATCTTCTACAGGCAAGGATGTTCTTTGTAACAAAGTGGCATCCTGTCTTAGTCTTTTTGCCGCAACCTTGATGGCAAGATCAATATGAAGTGAAATCGTGGACAAAATGTTCGACTCGTCGTGTCTCCGAGTCTCGACTCGAGTAGTCGACTGTCGGCTTCGACTCGTCAAATGACGGTTTCGACTAGTCGAGTTCCCGTTTCGACTCGTCGTGTCGACGGTGTCGACTCGTCGTGCCTCGACGCCTCGACTGAGTCGGGTCGAGCCTTTGCTTCGACTCGTCGTGTCCCTCTTCGAGTCGTCGTGCTGATTTTGATCGCGGGTTCGACTCGTCGACTTTTGGCGTATTGTATAAAAATAGATGATGAATTTAAAGTGGAAGCACTCAGATTTTCCCGCGCTTATTTCAGGGAAATAGTGAAATGTAGATTCCTCGAAGTCTGAATTCATATACAGTTTGTACAGATATTACTTGCTCTTTAATAGTTGTCTAAAACAAAAATGGATGACCTGAAACAAATTTTAAGGACAGCATTAAGTACTGTTGATGAAATCACATCGACGAATACACCTGAAAGGACCGGAGAATCCCAGAAAACTTGGCCAACCGGCTCAGAAGTTAATAATGTCAGTGGTGGTGGTACACCACAAACTACTAGAACATCGCCATTGGTCAGTTTGGTCGGTAGTACACCACGAAGACAGTCTTTGCTAACATCATCGCCAACTCTACCAGCTGCTTTTCCTGTTGCAGTTGCTCAGGCCGAGGCAAATTTCAGATATCGTATGGATAAACGTTTAGAACATATCGTAAATGGCTGATTGCATTTATTTTCCGCATGGGTGTGTGTGTGCGTTGGGGGTTAGGACGTCTTTTTACCAGCTAAATTGTGACGCCCCTGGAATTCAGTTTATATACCCCCTCCCTGGAATTTCCTAGGAATTCATTGCTATCCCCTAGACTTTCCATTGTCCTCAACCCCCTCCCTCCTGTGCAGAAAATAAATGTATGTATAAGCTAATTAATAATCATTCGTATAAACTGTGAACAATACTTATAATGCACTTTTCAATTGTAACGCCCCCCCCCCAACCTCGAAGAAATGTGGGGACATACATTTTAACAAATCCATACCCCCTCCCCAGGCAGGATGACTAGTCTTGTCTAATCCACCAACCCATGGGGGGGGGGGAATTTGAAATGTTTTATTGAACAGAGATTTTTATTTTCAAAATAAAAGTAATATCAGTGATGCACACACGCAGGCCATTGAAGTCTAAATGTGTATGCAAATTGTAGTATGTGCGATCAGGCATGAAAAATATGCAAATTATTGCAAATAATATTGCTATTCTGTAGAAAATAAATTCACAACTGAACATGCAATGATGATTTCATCACTATACAGGGTGTATAAAAAAAACTGAACAGATATGAATTTGCTCTAAATTTTGCAAAACAGCTATTAGTATCCAGTTTTTTATGTATATAGCTTCTTTGGGTACTTATAATGTAGAATAATGAAAAGAAATTTTTCTAACTCAAATTTTTGTGAACCAGGGGTGTGTGCCTTTTTCAACAAACTAAAAATGGCTTGCGCACAAAATTTTAAAGGTTCAATCATATTTTGAGTTAATAGATGGAACGTTTGTCGGGTTTTTAATTACTGTACAAAATTTCAGACAATTTGCTTCAGTTTAAGCCCTTTAACTATTCATTTTATCCCAAAAATTCAGCCTTTCGTATGCTTAATTAACCCATTAAGCGCCAGCGCTCTCCCCTTGACGAGTAAAATCGTCTGGCGTTAGACAGAGTAAAATATTAAAGTAGGGTGCATCAGGGTGCAATGCCACTCAATGGGTTAATGGCTTTGCTTAATTTGCATATTGCTGACATATGCAAATTAGGCAAAGGCATTAATTAAGCATGCAAATAGCTGATTAAATAGGAAAAAATGTAAGTTTGAGCGAATAGTTGAAGGGATTAAACTTAAGCAAATTGTCTGATGAAATTTTGTACAGTAATTAAGAATCCGACAAATTTTTCATCTGTTCACTCAATTTTTCATCTGTTCATTCACTCAGCGCAAGCCAATTTTAATCTGTTGGAAAAGACACCCCCCGCCCCCTGGTTCACAAAATTTGAGTTCAAGAATTTTTTTTCTTTATTCTACATTATAAGTAGCCAAAGAAGCTATATACATCAAAAACTGGATACTAATAACTGTTTTGCAAAATTGAGAGCAATTTCAAATCTGTTCAGTTTTTTTCTGATACACCCTGTAGAGTGAAACAAACAGAGCATAGAACTTTTATATACAAACAAAAAAATTACCAGATCCAGATAAAACTGACATAAAAAGATCAGGCTCAAGCTCAGCAGTCCTATCATAGCCTGCGAGTGGGCTATATATATTCTCACATAATGCCCCACATACCAAGGTCGGGAACCATAAGAGGAAAAGAAATAGTTGAAACATCGGGTTATCAATAGACAATTCCAGCTTTTAGTTTATGCCTGCAGGGGGTGATGGGAAGTAAGGTATCTCTCCGTGTTTACATGACCACCATTTTTATTTTTTCATCATAATCAGCAATGTGATACCTTACTTCCCATCGTCCCCTGCACGCATAAACTAAAAGCTGGAATTGCCAATTGATGTGTCCCAGGAGTAGGTTGTTCTCAGGCAGTACTGACTACAATCATTTGACGTACTAAAATCAAAGAATCTAACAACTGAAAGGTATGTCCTTTGCTACAAATTGATGTATATAAAGGGGAATTCTACTGCCATATTTCCCGATCAAGTGGTAATCACAACAGAACAAATTACAGAAATACAAAACAAGTTGGGGAAGTATTTGGACTGTAAAGCTTTTAGAAATGTCATCTAGTCGATGTTTCAACCCTTTCATTTAATTCTTCCGCCGCCTTCAACTTTTCGCGCCCGTGTTCCTTACTTGTCAGTGATCATCTGTACTTTGTGAAACGTCATGTAGAGTGATAGTAATATAAAGACTCAAAGCCGTTTTTAAAAGGTTTACTGCAGAACTTCGAGAGAATAAATGATCGACAATCAAGGGATTCAAGTAGTTTTTTTACATACTTCTACTAATAAACATTTTTTGGGGGCCTATAAGGGGGGCACAGTAGGGATGTTGGGTAGGGATCTTAGTGTGTTGCCATGTAAACGAGTTATTTACCGCAAGCAAGCACACATGAGGCCAAATAAAAATAATAGTTGGTTTCAGGTTTCCGACCGACCTGTCAAAAATATGACCGACCATAAACATTTTATTGACTTTTCCAAGGAGAGATCGTAAATAGCCTAATATATAAATAGTCATTAGACTTGTTTATCTACAAATTATTTTGTTTGCTTATAATTTAATCATACAGTCATGTTAATCATAGTTTTACAAAAAGAACAGTTGAATAAAATATTAAAAACGTATCTGAAATGGCAGCTACTGCTAAAAAAAAGGCGAAAACGCCTTGATGCATTTACCTCTCGCGAAAAACATGTAGCTCACGGGTTATCCTGTTATTGCATACTTGATATAAAATATTTTTTTAAATAAAATGTTTTTCCGACCTACCTACCCATATAAAACATGGCTGTGAAACCTGAAACCAGCGATTTTTTTTATTTGGCCTGAACTTATATACGGGGGGGGAGGGGGTAGGGCTTATATTTAGAATGTTCTGAGTGGGAAGGGAGCATAGACACTGTTGTATTACTATGGTACTGAACAAGACTTTTATATATAGTAGATACATATATGCATATAATAGTTTGATTTCTTTAGATCAGCTTTTTCTCACTTTGGCCTACCTGATCCTGGTAACAGAAAGAGAAAGAGGGCTGTTCCGCTTATGTTATCAAGGACACCTTGACTCATAATTTTTTCCTGCTGTCATCACCCTTAACAGATAAAACACCTTCCATAAAAGAAGCAAGCAATCTACTTTATGGTGGTCTTGGAAAAAGAAGAATAACATTCAGCAACAAACAAGGTGATTTTAATCACCTTAAAACCACGTTAGAAAAAGAATACCCAAAGTTGTCATGTCAGAACGGACCATTTGAACTACTCCGGGCAGACAGAGGGGGTGCAACAAGACCACTGATACCAATCCCTATGGCCCCAAGTGGATATGGTATACCATATTTAAAAAACGCTGTATCAGATCATGCAATAATATATGTTCGTCCAATTCAGAGTGAGTTAGAGCCAAGATCCACCCAATGATTCCATTGGCATGACCCAGGTGTTTAACAGTAAATTATGAACTGCTTAAAAGACATTCCAATTCAAGATATGAAAAGCCATGTTGAAGACTGCTGCAGTGAAGTAAGTTCTAAGCATGAAAAATGTGGAAGCTCATTGTCAAAACCTAGCAGTTCCATTGACCTCACACGTCTATCAGAGGAAATTTGGGGTGAACCAGAGGAGTCAGAGATGAAGGATGAAAAACTATGGGAAAAGGACTTAGAACTTATGTTTCCAAGCTCTTCCATAGAGTCAATGAAAAAAGCAATTGGTAAAGCTATTTCTCTAAATGAGGCAGCAGAATTATTATTAGAAGACGCCACACCTAAAGAGGAACATCCTCAAGATCCCGTTACTTACGACTCCATTGAAAGTTTAGTTGCAGATTTCAGCTCAAGCGTGAACGATAATAAAAGTTACACTTTATGTATTGACAGAGAGGAACTATGGAGAGGCGCACTTTCCTTTTATAAAAAAGCACTTTCAGACAAAACTTTGCCATTGAAAGATCTGTCTATTATTTTTAAAGGGGAGGAAGGTTTAGATGCTGGAGCAATGAAAGTAGAATACTTTGAGCTTTTACTTACTGAAATTCACCAAAGGCTTTTGAAGGATCACAATCATCAAAGCTTCCCGTTCGTGATAGCACTAAAGGTTTTCTACTAAAATTGGCCGGAATTATTATTAGTCACTCTATTTTGCAAGGTGGACCGGCCTTTCCATTGCTTCCTCCAGCTATTTATCACCAACTGGTGGCTGATGACCCATTGAATGTCCTTGCCCATCTTTCTATGGAAGATATTCCACGCACAGCAGGTGAAGTATAAAAAATTACCAAAAGAAGTCGATTTAACCCATTATAAGCACCAGCGCTCTCCTCTGATGAGTAAAATTGTCTGGCGTTATAGACAGAGTAAAATAATAAAGTAGGGCGTATCAGGGCGCAATGCGACTCACAGATAGAGCGAAAGGAGAGAGTATTGGGCTTTAGTATGATAATAATTTCAGATATCAGTAAGTAGAATTACTAGTTATAACTTGAATTACTAGAAAATGCCTTTGCCCAAATTATCAATTTCTGTTTCTCAAAGAGTACTGCTTCTACAACACTAGACCCCATCATTGATATAATAATGAATTTTTATTAGAATATTAAATTAAACTATTCTCTTTAGGCACAGCTATGTTACATGAAATGTTAGAGAAGTTTCGCAATGGTGAGACAGTGTCTATGGTTCTCGAAGATAGTTCCTCATCAGGGGAACAGGTGGGAAATTTGTCGTCGCTGACCAAAAAATTGCGGGCAGAAACAAAGCTCATTGCATTTACATTCAAAACAAAGCAGAAAGTTAGCAAGAAGCTGTTTTAGCTGACGATTTTTTGCTTTCCATTCAACGATTTACAAAGTAACGGTTATTCTTTTAAAAGTCGACTATGAATTCTTTGTTTTGGGATGATTTGTTTTGTAATCGAGTGATTGGAAGAAGTTAATATGGCGACGTGAACATGGGAGTAAATACCGTATACGTCGATCTGTGGCTTGTTTAAAACCGTAATAAACGAAGAAAGACGTAATATGAGAATGAAATGTAAGTTGAAATTAACTTTATATGCCTCAAATTTTCCATCCTATGTTTCTTAGTGTAACTTCAGCTGTCTAAGTTCAAAATACAAGTTCGCGAAATTTGACAAATTTTGAAAATATGTAAAAATAGCTTGACTTTGAACTGTATTTTCTCAAAAATAGCCCGTGGCCTCAATTTTAAATATAGCTAAATGAAAAGAAAAAAGTTTTCGGCGTTTGTAGGTATCAAACATATCGTCGGGAAAATAGGGGCTCACAATGTTTTAGCTGAGTCTTTGAGACCCAGTTGCTTCGCACGTGTTGCGGTCAAATTTTTGCCAAGAATCAAAGGCCGAAATGTGAACTTCCTTCATGAAAACCGGCTCGAGAAGGGTCTAGTTTGAAAATTTAGCTATTAATTTCGTTTTCATGAGCATATTTTGGTTACACGTTAAATATTTTTGTACTTGATGAGATTCAAAATTTGTTGTATATTCAAGTCCGGCTTTAGTGTAATTTTGGTGATGACCGGAACAGAAATAAAGATATTTTAAAAACTGGCCGTGGCCTCACGATAAAACTTTCTAAAAATGTTCTCTGTTTCATGTATTTTTATTTGATATCTTAGGTATAAGCGTAAAAATAGGGGCTCATACAGTTTACGAGGTTGTAAAATGCATTACTTGCCTCTATTACCATGTAAATATTCGAAATTTTTCGACAGCAAAGTAGCAACTGTTTCAGATCGAATGCACACAGACAGTCCACCAGAGACAATGGCAGGGTACTGAAATAGAACGTCACTAAAAACTTCTGTATGATTAATTTAGATCATGTCCATTTTCAACATAAAACAGTCATTTATTTTGTACAAACATTTGGCAATATTTACACGATTGTGCCTTTTTGTAAACACGCGTTGCGTGTATTCCACTCAATTGAGTGACTCATATTGCTCGCGCATGCTCAGACAAATTTCCCACCTGTTCATCAGGGGCCGGTTGTATAAAAACGTAATTAGCGCTAACTGTAGTTATCGTTAATCACTGTAGTTAAATCCTTAACTGTAATTAGTTAACTACATGGCTTAACTGCGTTGCACAAAACGTAGTTAGTCGGATAGTCAACTAATCACGTAGTTAACTGTGCGTGTGGCTTGCGTGGGGCGTTTAAACACAAAATTACATAAAGTAAGCAGCGAATAACGACCGCTGACACCCATTTTCAACATGATTGTGGACTCGTATTTTGCAAATAGGCGGGAATTTTATTCAAAACACTAGAAAACAGTGAAAAATATACAAGAAAACAAGGAAAAACCGCCACAAAAATCATAAAAGAATGCAGTTTTTCCTTGAGATGCCTACGTTAAACCAAGGTATAGCTGTTTGGCAATTATATATCAGTGTTTCTTGGTGTAATGGACCATAGTTCGTCTTCGAGAAATCGTCCTGTGCAAAAATATGTTCTGTTTTCGTAAAAAACAGCAAAGCGATAGCATTTGAAGAGTTTATATTGTCAGGAAACATTCACATGGAAGATAGCGATTGAAAATCTCAGGTAACCGTTGCTTTTCATTGTTGTTTTACTGAAAAATGTTGTTCACTCGTATACAACCGCCATTTTTAACTACGTTTTGGACAGTTAACTATACCCTAAAGCATAGTTAACTTTAACTACTTTTTAACTGCAGTTAAGGCTAACTACACTTTTATACAACCGGCTTAACTACGTGATTAAAGTTAACCACTTTTTAACTACTATTTAACTGCAGTTAGCGCTAACTACGTTTTTATACAACCAGCCCCTGAAGTTTATTGGGCGATCATCAATTCTTCCCATTGGTCTTTGACAAAGGCTGTTACGGATGCAGATTTGCCACTTCTGATCCAATGTCTTTTAGAAAACGAAATCCTGTTATCACGAAAGTACGAGATAGACCAGTTGAGTGAAGGATTAGCTTTTCTGGGATTGCTGGACATAATGAAAAAAAAATGCAGATCTTTGTTTCAGTCTATTCTGTTTCAGTGATGACACAGCTCTTACAGCAGAAAGATTTATCAGTCTCATTGGCAGCAAAGTCGAGGTTCCAACGGAATTTTCTAAGAAGCAGTCGTATGATTGGTTCATTCAGTATGTTCAGAGTGCAAGTGCTGAGCAACTGCAGTGCTTACTAAAGTTTGCAACATCTTTCAAAACAATCCCTCCTTATGGTATGGAACATAAAATTACCATAAAGTATCTCCCGGATGATGATACAGCAAGTTTACCGAAATCACTAGCTTGTTTAGCAATCTTGAGTCTTCCAACAGTACATTCCAGCCACAAGAAACTCAACGAAAGCATAGATGTTGCTTTGAAATTCGAAAGCGAAGGTTTCGGGAGCTCCTAAACAACTAAGGTAATAAAAACCATATACTGTTAAGGTGAATTACTGTATCCTCTGCAGGGGCTGTCTCCATAAGACACACAAATAGGTCTCCTGTTTAAAGAGTACATGACTCAAACACTTGGATTCCACATGTTACGCCATTACATTTTCAGGCCATTACTTCCTAATTGTTTCTGGTTTTTCGATTTGATATTATGTTAATATACCTAAGACTCTTAATAGTAGATATACTATAATAAGGTATTACCACTTTGTTTAGTTCATTAACACAGAGGGATGTGTTACGTTGCAGGTACATGCTGAATGCAGGGACAAATCCCATGATGTATGTTTTGCAAAATGTCGCAAAAAATAAAAACCTGTTTGATTTCATGAAATGTCGCAGGACAAAAATTTGGCTTCGCGAAAAAGTTCTATATGGGATACACGATAAAATTTGTCCTGCAGCAAATGTTCCTGGAACATGTCCCTCAGTGACGAATCTTTAGGTGTTAGTTTTCACGATGTTGTGTCCTGGTTGATATTGTTGTGTTAATTAAAAGGTTAAAAAATGTTGCCCGACCCAAGACTATTTTAAACAGCTATTTAAGCTGCTCTTTCTCATCAAGAAATTAAAAAAACGGTTGTTTAGTGCAGTGGCCAGCCAAAGTATGTGTTACCTTATTATTTTGCTGAAAGAATTCCTTATAGTACACCCCTAAAATTCTATTCGAACTATTTTAATTGTTTTCTTTTGATTGATACTGGTCAAAATGACTTTATCATGTGCTAATTAACAGTTATTCTGCGAACTCGAGTCGAATATGAGCTGATAGCTGATGAGGCGCGTAGCGCCGAATCGGCTATCGCTCATATTCGACGAGAGTGAGTGGAATAACTGTTTTATTATATACACAAGGTCTGAATTCACAGACTTTGCTTTTCGGATATTTTTAATATTTTTCTATTTTGTTTATGTTTTTATCTTCGCTCTTTCGGCCGATTATTTTTTCAAAAATATATATTTTTAACCATTTTAAATTTTAAAAATTTATTTGCTAACCTGAAAACAATTTGCGGGAGTTTTTTCATTGTGTTTTTAATCCTGTGAAGGCTATAAAAAGCGACAACTTGCCGTTTTCTCGTTTGCAAAACATCTTACCTTCAGTTTGGCCGCCATTTTGTTTTTCTCTACTAGCAGGATATGAGCTAATATCCTGCTAGTAGAGAACCAATCAGATTGCAGAATACCTCATATCCAGACCTTGTGTATATAATAACAACCGTTATTCCACGCCCCGTTTCCTTAGTATCAATTTATAATGATTATTATTTACTGCGACCGAGGGAAACAGTTACAGTGATCTGTTTTCCAAGGTTTCAGTAAATAAGTGATATTTGTATAAATATATTTTTATATCAAAGGTCGAATGAAAACAAGTTTGATGCTTTTATTAATAAAAATGCTATTTGTTGTTGCCATATTTACTCGTGGTTTTGTTGGTTACTATGGTGTACAAAATGTATTAGTATAATTAGAAAGGTGATAATTGAAACTTCTGCACGCTGACTAGTCACCTCACCAGCAATAATCACCTGAAGCGGGGTTTTTTTTCAAAATAGCTGCAAGCATAAAAAAATGTTTTGAAATGTGTATTTATACGTTTCGAAATGCTTTTAAACATGGAACAACACAGTTTTTGGTCGGATGAAAAGCAACAAAAAGTGAACTTTGAAAATTAGTATATAATACTAGTACAGTACAGTACAGTACAGTATAAGTATAATTATCATTAATATAATTATTTGGTCTACTTAAATCGTGATATGTACTGTATTGTACAGCTGGTACTGAAATGTATATAATGGTTATTGGTTGATGTTATGTTAATTGTTAAATAAAGTTAATAATTGTCTTACTCTATTGCTTGCTGTAAGCTCATTACCACATTGAGATAAATGTCCAATCCAAATGACTGACTTTCAGCTAAGGGATTGTGTTGCAAATAATCATCATCCAATATGGCTAAGTGTACTTGAGGAACCTCAATATGTGACCCACTTGCAATGTTTTCACTCCACTCCTGACTTGGTAAAGGTCCATCCCAGTCTATGCTTGATTGCAAGGCCTCTGCCTAAATGTACACATATGTGCTTTCTATCATGACAGCTTTCATTTATATCTATCTGTTGCAAATTCTTCATGCAAATTTCATAGGCATGTTATTATGCATTTACAGGTACATGTACATTAACTGTAAAACAGTACTTACGAAACTAAAAAACCTACAGTATTTAAAACTGTCATCAGGGTTTTTTTCTTGGGTCCGTTTTTGCAGAAAAGGTTAAGTTTAACTGAGCAGCTGGGGGTAGTGAGCAGAGGCTGAATATTCTCCCGGTGAAAAGTAGAACCAGGGATCCAAGGCTATTGCAACATTCCAAAAGGCAAACACTGTTCAACATACAAAATGAAAAACTTCGGGTCATAGCTCGCCAATGCATGACTTTGAATGTTCAATGACTGCTGAACTGAATTTAATTTTCATGCGCGTTTGAACACTGGTCGAATTTGAACGGAAATATGTCGACACTAGAACAGGATTGTTTCGTACCATTACATACGAGTTACGATTACAGAAATATGGCATGGTGTTTTGAATTGTTTGTTTCTCCATTCAGTGTTTATGACAAATCATACATATTGCTTACCTCGCTGATTTCATGACTTGAACTATTGCTGTGGTGACCCCACAACCATAGCTGTGCTGGAGACATGTTTTGTTCACTCGACAATGGGTGGTTATTCCATCCATTACCAAATTCCAACAGATGAGCATTTATTCGAGGCTCAAATACATATCTCAAAGAAAACAGGTGCAAATCATTTGTAGTATCAAGAAGCCCTTCATGTTCCATGTATGAAAACAGGTTGTAATAAATATAGGTGCATCCTTGGAAGAGATCTCTCCAGAATCTTTCAATTCTTTGATTGTGGCAGCTCTTACCAGCAATGAAACTGCCCCTGTTAGGGCCTCGGTCTGGATGTGTAAACATAAACCAGGCCACATCAACATTCTCACAACCTTGATCTGCTCTTACACGAGATGGTAGACCGTATTGGGTGACAGCTTCCTTGAAGAGTGTTAGAACAGTGTCTGCTCTATTGTTGCAGCTGCATCTTAAATACATGATGTGCCTGGAATAGCCATCAATACCACCATGTATTACAAACCTAGTTAACCTATTGAGCCCCAGTGTGCCATACTTTCTTTTTACTTGTCTGGTGCTAGACAATTTTACTCGTCAATGGGGAAGCTCTGCAGCACGCAAAGAGTAATGTGTAACTTATTTTTTAAAAGTGCTTTTGATTGGGCAAATAATCCTAGTACACTGCTATATATAGTTCATATAATAGTTGTGCATTCAGTATTAAGTAGTGCTTATTCTCTGTCTTGCCATTGTTAAAAGCACAACTTGTACGTTTTAGGCAATTAAGTAAGGAGTTACCCATCACACCTTGCGTGCTTAGAGTTTAAGGTTTGAGATTTTTGAAGGACAACTTTTTTTGAAACAGCTGTATAAACCATATGGCCACATGTTATAATGTGCATTGATTCACATTCCACTGGCTATCATAAAGTCATACACTGATACCCTTACTGATTACCTTATTAATTTGTGATTGCCGTCAATATGACACATGGATAATGGTGCCTGAACAAAATATGTTCTTCGGTTAACTGTTGTCAACCGTAAGGCACCCATTAATATGCCTTGCGGATCTACTATTCTCATACTATCCCTGATCCTATTCCACTGAATATTAAAGCCTCTAACTCTTAGGTGTCCGCGCATCTGTCGATAACCACAGTTGGGAAATTCACTCACAATTCTTGCACTAAATAAATCAAAGGTGAAAGTAATTAAAGTCCTAACTTATACCTTACAAAAAAACCTTATATATAAATACATACTATGAGTAATAACTAATTTGATTAGAGATTTGTAGTCAAAATACAAGAACCTTCCCACTCTCACTTCAATAGTTTCTTGGTTATTACTGTAATGTAATTTGTCCCATTTTTCTGTATAGCAGTTACTAATATGAATATATTGCAATGAAATTAAAACTTTGCTCCTTTTATGCACCTAATTTAATGAAAAATGCATCCTTTGCAGAACAAATTAGATTAAATCATAACCGACCGCAGAAGCAGGAAAGTTCTTGTATTGGGTCATTCCAGAAAACATCCATACCACCCCACGGAGGAAATTGGAAGTTAACCCCCCTACCCCCTTCGGATGTCCTAATACATTTACAATTATCAGAAACAATTTTGTCTCCCTTCCCCCTCCCGATAGCAGAAATTTCCTCCATGGGGGGAGTGTGAATCGTTTCTGGAACAACCCATTTTGACTGTAGGCATTTAGTTTTTTTTATAAAATCCTTAAACATATAAACATTTAAGATTGGGTGAATCACATAATACTACCACGCTAAGGAGTAACAGGGGCCCTGTCAGCATAATTAGTAAATTCGTCAACAGAATTTCTACCTTCTTGCAAAATGCTTGTGCTGGCCCAAAGATTTCCAAGTTATATTACGTTTTTCTACCTGCAAAAATGTTTAGGCTATTCTTCCTAAGAAAATGTTTGGGGTATTCTCTCTGAGGTCCCAGAAACGGAGAAATCCTGCATTTTGAGGGCGTGCAAAGGTAAAAGCCTGGGTACGAGGTTGACTAGTTGACAGTCATAACTTTACATTTTATTTGGGGCTCCCAATTTGGCTGGGGCCCAGGGCTGTTCGTGGGGGGCAGGGGGTTGTTAGGAGTCCCTGTATCCCTGGCTTTGTATGCCCTAAACGTTTCATGTTTCACTTACATCAGTTGATCCAAATCTGAATCACTCATACAACTATAGCTATTTCTCTTTAACTGGAATTTGTCAATTTGCCTTTGAACAGTCTTTGGTGATACAGAAAAAAATTTCGAAATTTGAACATTGGTGAAGTTATACTCAATATAAAGTTCTAGCTGTTCTTTTGGTATGATAACCTCCGGGCGCCCACGACAATATGTCTTTTTAAATAACTTTCCTTGAATTTCCTCAGGTTTGTTGTTTAAAAGTAGTTCTTGAGCATTATTAAGTAATGTCACAAGTTGGGATGGAATATTGAAAGATACCTCCGCTGCATTAAGTAAATAAATAATTCTTTCCAAGTGAAGGCTAATATAGTCTCTGCCATCTTCATCCTCTGATGTTATTCCATCTATACGGTTCATTAAAAACTCTATACTTGAGCGAAGGCCATTCAGTAATTCAGTTGTCAGCGACGCCATGTTTCGAAAAAAATTATATATGTTATACACATTTTACAATACGCCAAAAGTCGACGAGCCGAACCCGCGATCGAAATCAGCACGACGACTCGAAGAGGGACACGACGAGTCGAAGCAAAGGCTCGACCCGACTCAGTCGAGGCGTCGAGACACGACGAGTCGACACCGTCGACACGACGAGTCGAAAAGGGAACTCGACTAGTCAAAACCGTCATTTGACGAGTCGAAGCCGACAGTCGACTACTCGAGTCGAGACTCGGAGACACGACACGACGAGTCGAATATTTTGTCCACGATTTCACTTCATAGATCAACTGGGATATTTGCAAACAAGAAAACGACATCAAATGATACCAACACTTGATCTGCTTTAAGAGGTTTACCTCTTACAAATTCTGCAAAATGACAGGAATTTTTGACAGTGTTTTCGGTATTTCCCACCACAGGGGACAAAATTTTCGCCAAAAAACTTGAAACTCCATTCATATATGTAGGAGAATTCACAAAGGACACAATAGGTCTCAATGGAATTTCCGGTTTATCGATTTTCGGTAAGCCATAGAAACGCGGAGATAGTCCATCACTGCTGTATAACTTTTCACATGTAGCCTTGCTGATAATATTGGATTTCTTCAAAAGAAGTAACTTGGCGTTTAAACCTCTTTGAGTCTTTCCAGTAGGATCAGACTTGAGAATAGAATACGTATTTCTGTCATTCAATAGTGAAAGAGCCTTCTCGCGATAATCATGTTTGTCCGTAACAACAACGCAATTGCCTTTGCCCGCTGAAAGTATAACCCTGTCCGGATCTTTTTTAACAGCAAGTAAAGCTTTGAAAAAATTCGAATCAATGTTTTTTGGAGGTATTTTGGCACGTCTAAGAATGCTACTGACCTCGGCTCTTACCAATCGCTTAGCATCATCGTCTAGTGGAAAAATTCCTTCTTCCACTGAAGCAATGATTTCGGCTGTTGGAATTCTGTTAGGTACACCGCAAATTTTAGGCCGTGTTCAAGACCCTTCCAACTCACTTAGCTCTTTAGATGAGAGGTTTTTAACCCATCTCTTCTTAAGATTCGAACCTGATTTATCAGATGGTTTCGTTCCAATCAGACGCAGCAATTTTTTGTCATGCTTCTCTCTCTGTTTGATCGACTCTTTGCGAAATTGCGAACGACAAAACTCTTCGATCCATAGGACTTCAGAGCAGTCGATCAAATCAGAAAGCTCGCAGAGTAAACGTTGACAATCAGAGCGCAGACGGTGTATAGACTGATGACAATCGTTTATACGCAACCTCAGGAAAGAAAAACCAGTATTTTCCATTAGCTTGTATCCCTTTTTACTCCGTATTGGAGGTTTGAATCGCAAGCTGAACGGCAAAACTTTGTTTTCCTTGCACCGATGATTGAAATACAAATGACCACGATATTTGGTAATACGAATCTTCATGTTGACGAGCTTTCGAAGCCTCGAAACAACATTTTGACCATATTTTTCTCTTATAGATATAAAGTTTGTTCGTTCACTGCAACCAGGTATATCAATCATGTTTCGCTCGCTACTCTGGTTTAAATAAATGATTACAAAGCGCAGTGGAATTGTAATCAAGACCCAACGTTTCGACACTCCAGTCTAGTGTCTTCATCAGGGGTGATCTAAAACTGCGATCGTGGCTTCTTAAATACCCAAGGGATGACGTCACCTGCCAAGAAGATGCATATATTCTTCTGGAAAATAGGCACCGTCATCCCTATTCAAAGCATAATGACTCATATTTATATGCCACGCTTCTAGGCATCAGCTTTAGCCGAACATGTATGTTACACCAAACACGAGATTGCATGGGAAAACTCTAAAGTAATTACCACAAACAATCGCTATGGTCAAAGACTTTGCCTAGAAGCGTGGCATATAAATATGAGTCATCATGCTTTGAATAGGGATGAGGGCGCCTATTTGCCACAATATATGCATAAGAATATATGCATCTTCTTGGCAGGTGACGTCATCCCTTGGGTATTTAAGAAGCCACGATCGCAGTTTTAGATCACCCCTGATGAAGACACTAGACTGGAGTGTCGAAACGTTGGGTCTTGATTACAATTCGACTGCGCTTTGTAATCATTTATTTAAACCAGAGTAGCGAGCGAAACATGATTGATATACCTGGTTGCAGTGAACGAACAAACCTTCATATTCATTAGGATTCAAATTTGCATTGCCTTGTATTGCCATTGGATTGCATTGCATTGCTTTTTCTCATTGATTTCCATTGTCATATCTACTAAGTTTCCGAAGAAAAGGGTGACCTCCACCAGAAATTGAATCTAGATTGACTGTATTTTACAAAAATAGTTATCATTTCACAAAAATCACGACTTTATTACGCAAATTTTACCTGAAAATGTCACACTTTAAACTTGAATCTTACCTGATTTTTACCCGAGTTTCACAGTTGGGGGTGGTTTACACCAAACACCCCGGCCGCTACGTCCCTGTACAGTGGATTGCATAAAAACCTTTACTCTTTAGCTGAATAATTACACCTAATATATAGGCTAAGGACAAATTAAATTGATGTCGCCTTGACATTGTGAATACCAGAATTTGTTTTACCGAAGTATTTAGCTCGATCACTCCGTAGCCCGTAGGTTAACACTGTATTCAGTTGAGCTCATGATACCGATTAACTGGCTAGTCTTACTATGATTGAATATTACTTACTGTATGATCGCGTAGTTTCGTGAAAATGTTGCTAACTTTGTTGGAAACTTGCTTCTCTGAAAGCTCATTTCTTTCCTCCACTGTTGCCAACTCGCCATAACGATGTTTTTTGTCTGGAGCCAACTCTTTAAATTTCACTGCGGCATCCTTGTTGAAAGCCGATATCCCATCTTTCAAGCTGTTTTTACCATCTAAAAATAATTCTACCATCATTCAAGCTGTTTTTACCATCTAATGCACGTAACATCTGTTACACTTACAGCTACTGTATATGCCTATAGATTCGGCTCATTGCGCCAGAGGCGCAGTAACCTGAAGTTCAGGCCCTAATTTGAAATAGGGCCTGACACAAAACCTATCTAAACCGTGGGACGCCCACATGTTATTTTTAGACACAACATGATTGACACTGTGACTGTGTTATACATTTCATTGAACGAAAAATACCAGAGGGAAAATATAAAGATATTCATTCATTTCATTTCATGTTATATTCTCATGAACATGTCCGCAGAGTGTGCATTTTATACTTAAAAATCCAAGGTACTTTTTAGAGTTCAGTTTCTCCATTTAATTTAACCAGAGCAACAAAGATTTAGTCAGTTCTGTGCAACAGTGCAAGGACTGAATTCAACTTCAACTTTATTTAATTAAACACGGTACTATTTCACAGTATATTAAAATATATGCAAATAATTTTGTTCTCTGCGATCTACTTTCCGCAATTGGAATTAAAGTGCGTCAAGAAAATACGCTAAAATTATTTGTTTCGTCATTGAACGAGGGATCTAAACAAACGGCTTGACTGCCAAACTTTCTCAAGGTCTCAACTTGCTGGACGCGGATATACAATTTCTAACCGGATAACAACAACAATAACAAAATTCTTTATCGTATCATGACGAAGGCGATATGGCTCAGAAAACAACGCCGGTAAGACCTGATAAATAAGACTTTCACCGAAGCCAGTTGGCAGAACGGCAAAGACATCTTGGGCCTTGGCTGTCAACAACAAGCTTTCGAATGCACGACTTTTGCTGTTTTTTAAGCGTCGTGTGTCCAAACTTCGTCAAAGATTTTGATAAAGCTCTTTCAAAATGATTTGGGATAAAACGCGGATGCGGACGGACGGACACGCGGACGGACATGATGGACGGACACGCAGACAGACATGCGGACGGACACGCGGACGGACAAGCGGACGGACACGCGGACTGACACGCTGACGGACATGCGGACGGACACGCGAACGGACATGCGGACGGACACGCGGACGGACAGACGGACGGAAGGACGAAAAGGATGAAATTCGGATGCGGACAAAAAGGATAAAATGCGGACTGTTTCATTGCCCTAACATAATTCGTTATTTCGGAGACACAATTCATAGACTTAGTACACGGTAAATTCCAGCTGGAGTTTCAGCCGCTTGCCGAAGATGCATTGTAATTTCATTTTAGTTAATAGTATATGCAAGGTCATAGAGAATTGTGCTGGGTTTTTTCTCCCCGTAGTAAAATACCATTACGGTGGTGTTGATTTCTGGATGAAAACAGCATGAATTCAACATAATAATATAAGAAATGCACAGAGCTAGTGCTGATGCCTTACCCGCGATATATTTTACGGAAATCCCAACGCAAAAATATTTAACAACAAGGTAATTACAACAGGATATTACGAATGTAATAATCAATATTAAAATACATGTAGTTATGCAAGGCGGAGGCTTTGCAGTAAATAATTGCTCCAGGTATCTGAACCATGCTGAATAGTCAAATTAGCGAGCTAAAGAGTAAAGAATTCATTGACCGATGACAAATAGTGACAAAGCAAATATAGTGACTTTAAAGAAATTTCTATAAATGTTTAAGACGTTTAGTGTTTACTGCTAGACGTACATCCAGGCTTCTCTCCTACGCAAAGGCTTTTAAAGAATATGAAATTCGAAGGAATTGGAATTGCGCTAGAAGGTATCTGGTATGAAGAGAACTAAATAGTTACTGTACTTTCAAGAAAAATTAGCTAGATACATAGATGTTTATTTACTCTAATCACTACAAATGTTTAAGTTGTTAATAAACAACCTCAAGAAATCGGATTTTGTGCTAAGCTGCCAAGGCTGATATTCTATTTTTTTAAATATTCTGGAAGAAACACAGTGAAGGTTAGTTTTTATTGTGAATACTATTTATCAATACTGATTACTGTTGATTTGAAGCTCGATTTTGGTATACGGTGTCGGTGAAACGAGGACGCAAAATCAATGGACA